GATGGATGGATGGATGATGGATGGATGGATGATGGATGGATGGATGATGTGCAGCACGAGCAGAAATGTCTCTTTATCTTGATGAACCCCTCGGGGATGGGCGCTGAGCTCCGGCCACGCTGCCAGAACAACTTGGGAAAGTCTTTGGAGAACAGGGAGGTTTAAATGGACGAATTTATTTATGAACCAGACCAGTTTTCACTTGGACACTGCTCACAATTTGTTGGAATTTGCACACTAAGGCCAAAAGTGCCGTTAATTTCAGCACGTGTCTTTGCAAAGTAATTTCTGTGTTCTCCACACCGTGTCCCTGAGTTGTTTGGGTTGATGTGACCCTGAAAACAGAGTCACTGTTGGCCTTTGGTGTCTTTAATAATTTTTTTTTTCAGCAGTGCTGTGATTAAATCAAGTACAACCGTGATTTGCCAAGGTACAAATGATAGATGAACGAAATAAAGATTTTCTGAATCATTTGCAAATCCTCCAGTCATGGAATCGTGGAAATCCTCGAGCTGGGAGCAGCTCAGGAGGATCACCAAGTCCCTTGGAGGATGCGATTGTCCTTGCTCTCCCTGAGCTTTCCTCCGCATCCCGGGCCTGGTGACTCCGCTGTGGAAGCACCAAGAGCTCCTCTCCCAGGATTTGCACTGCAAAACAGAATCTTCCCCAAAGAAATTCCTTCTGAAGTTTAACCTGGAGACCTGGCTCGGAAAGAGGAAAGGCCAGAAGGAGCAGCTGCTCGGCCTCGGTGCGAAACGGGCGCGTTTTGGAGAGAGGCTCCACGGAATTCCCGCGCGCGGAGGGAAGCGGCTCGCGCACGGCCGGCAGAGTCAGAAAGGAAGGGCAGCTCCTCTCCGAGGAGAAACTTGTCCTATCTCTGAGAGTCCTGCACAGAATGTTTACAAAACGCTCATTAAGGGAGAGGGGATGTGGAGATAGCAACAAATCTGGTGAGCAGCTTCCACTGCCCGAGATAAGAGAGGCAAGGCGGCCATAGAGGAGAGCGAGATCCAATTACCGAGACCTGGTTTTGGGGAGGGGGAAGGGGCAGACAGACAGGACGGATCACAAGCTCCAAGACAAGAGTTTCCAAACTTGTCATCCCCCTGTGACACAAGCCAGCGGATAAAACCGCCACCGAGCCCACACGAGAGGCAGCGCTCCTCCAGTGCGGTTGGAGGCGAAGCCATGGGTTCTGCTGTCCTCCAGCTCTGGGCTCTCCTCTCCCTGCTGGTTCACCTTGCAGCCTGCAGCCCCATCCTGAGCCTGGAGCGCTCCTCTCTGGAGGAGGACGTGCCTCTTTTCGATGAGATCCTCTCCGAGCAAGATGGGGTGGATTTCAACACGCTGCTCCAGAACATGAAAAATGAGTTTTTGAAGACCTTGAACCTGTCTGACATCCCCCTGCACGAGTCGGCCAAGGTGGACCCCCCAGAGTACATGCTGGAGCTCTACAACAGGTTTGCCACAGACAGGACATCGATGCCTTCTGCAAACATCATCAGGAGCTTCAAAAACGAAGGTAAGAGCTGCTGATCTCCGGGAGAACGGACAGAGGAGCGTCCCCGGAGCCGGTGGGAAACGTCCTGGCCGAGGACAGGGCACGGGGAAAGGGCCTTGGGGTGAGGATGGCCTTGGGAAGCAGCAGAGGTGGCAGGGCTGCCCAGACCCAGCTCTGCCGAGTCCTTTCTGACACTGCAGGGACTTGGGGAAGGCGTCTCTAACACCAAGTGTCACTTCAGTGCCTCAATTTCTCTGTCCCCACGGCGACACACATCATTTGTAACCTGATTTGTAACATCATTTGTAAAGCTGATTGATTTTTTAAATGGATCCCTGCAGTAATAGTTGAAATTAAGGCAAGACTGATCTTTACACGCTGTTCAAAGTGGATTTTCTGACACAGTATTTGCAATATTTTAAAATGATGAGCTTAACCGAGCACAGCTTTCTGTTAATGCCTTCTCATCCCCATGGCATTTGTAAAGTTTTCTTCCTTTGACACTGGCACACAGTCCAGAAAATACACAAAAACAAGTGAAGAGGAATTTTTGGATAACCAATTGATTTTACTTTGGAGTGCCAGACTATATCCTAATAAAAACAAACAAAACCTGAAGAAACTTAATCATCAGAGAATCACAGATTATTCTGAGTTGAAAGGGATCATCAAATGCAGCTCTCAAGTGAGTGGCCCACACAGGATCAAAGAGATAACCTTGGCATTATTAAAACTCTGCTCCAACCAACTGAACAAATGCCTTTGTGCCATTTCCCCCTTTTTCCCTCTGTTTTTCCTTCCACATTCCCCTCAGCTCAACGAGGGTGAAACAACGCTGCAGCACCAACATTCAATAATTTGCCAGTATCTTTTTGCACCAACACATTTTATGCTAAAAACATTTTCCAGCTAACCAATTCCAAGTATTAACCCACGTGGCAAATGCAAGAGCTTTGATCCGAGCTCAGCTGCCCTGTGGCTGTTCAAGCTGCCACGGGGCCTCCCTCATCCTCTAAATGTTTAATTACTGAGCTTAAAAACATGATTGCTTTTCCCCTCAACATTTGCAGTTTCAAAATGGGTGGAAATCACCTGAGTTTTGCAGGGCAGTGAGGTTCCTGGAGAGAATCCTGAATCTCTGCTCTGCCCCCATCTCCTCCAGGCCCAGGCACCTTTGCCAGCAGTAGATTTCTTGCATCAGGAGGCTCAGCAGTGTGATTTAAAGTTTCTTTAGGTCTCCTTTTCTCCAGTGTGGAGAGATTTCTCGGAGGGTTGGTGGCAAAGCAGTGGCAGGACGTGGTGGCCCCTTGCCCACCTGGCCGTGCCTGTCTCTGCCCAGCAGCAGGGATGAAGGCACACCCGCAGGAGATGCTCTCATTTTTGAAACAGAAATCGTGGGGGGAAAAGCTGCCAGGTGCAGCGTGGTAAAGAATAAAACGCTCTGTGGTTTTGGTGAGGCAAATCTGAGATGGTTCCACCTGCAGAAATCCAGGTTTGCAGCGTGGAATGGCCCAGGCTGGCCTTTGCCATGTCCTGCTGGGCCTCCTTCACAAATTCTGCCTCAAATGGGGAAAACTCACCTTAAATTTCTGTCCCTTCAGATTTTTCTCTCGCCTCTCCCAGTCCAAACCAGCAAGACACATGAGGGGAACACAGCTTCACAAACACGAGGAGTTTAAGGAGTGTGAAATTCATGTTTTCATGTGTCCTCAAAGTCTGGATAATTAAAAAACATCCCTTTCATGCTGAAGAGCTCTTTTGATAGAGAAATTAATTGCTTGCAATGAGAAGGACGGGAGAAACAGATCATGGAATTGATTTCTTCACCTGCTGAAAACTGGCATTAATCCCAGTTTAATTATTATCCATTCAATCCTTTATTTTAGAGGTCTAACAGGGGCTATGGTTGGAATTAGCTCTTTGTTTTAACCCATGGACCACAACAGTTTAGTTGTAGATGGGGCTGTAATCAGTGCTTAACACTTGAAATAAAGTTTGAAGAGAAATCTTTCTTTTTCTACCGACTCCAAATCTCCCTTCCCAGCCCTCCCAGGGGTGCACTGGGAACAGCAGGAGGTTTGGCACCTGTGAATTTTGCAGCTGAAGAGCAGAGTCCCATCCTGGCTGTACGAGGGGTGCTCAGGGTCTGCTCCTGCCCTGCCTCTCCCACCTTTATTAACTGACAGGGAAATGGAAACAGAATCCCCCCTCTTTTTTTTTATTTATTTTTTTTATTATTATTTTTTTTTAATTTTATTTTTTAATTTGAGAAGAGATGAAAGTGCAAAATTAGAAAAAGAAAAAGATAAAGGCAGGTGCCTCAAACTGGAGTTCAACAGCACAAGTCACATGCTGAATTCATGGCTTGCCAAAGTGCATTGGTGGAGCGTGGCCAGGGCTTGTGGCTTTATCAGAGTCATTTTTTCTACAAACACAGAAAAACTGAGGAAGGCAGAGATGAAGGGGAGCCCCAGGTCACAAAGAGTTTGCATTAATCGCAGTTCCAGCCTCTGTGTCCTGAAGGGAGGCAGCAAACACTCCCCGTGGACAGATCTGGGGACAGAAATGAGCTTTGCTGTGCAGCCAGCAGCAGGACAGGCAGCCCAGGTGACACCAGCCATTGTGCCCTGTCACCTTGTTCTGTCACTGCAGGCGCCCAGGACACCTGGCTGAGCTCACCTGGCTGAGCTCACCTGGCTGAGCTCACCTGGCTGAGCTCACCTGGCTGCTCACCCAAAGCCCACCGAGCCCGTGGTGGCTTTGCTGCCATCACCAGCTCACCCTGGTGTCACCACCTGCCCTTCCTGACGTAAAACATCTTCCAAAGCAGCTTCTCCTCTCCGAGTGCTCGGCCCTTTCCGTGTCTGAGAGGTGTCAGAGCAGCAGGGAGCTCCTGTCAGAGCGCTGGAACATTGCAGCACACACATTTCATGTGTTTGCAGGTTTGCAGCACACACATCTTGTGTTTGCAGCACACATCTTGTGTTTGCAGGTTTGCAGCACACACATTTCATGTTTCCAGGTTTCCAGCACACACATCTTGTATTTCCAGGTTTGCAGCACACACATCTCTTGCATTTCCAGGTTTGCAGCACACACATCTTGCATTTCCAGGTTTGCAGCACACATCTTGCATTTCCAGGTTTGCAGCACACACACTTCATGTTTCCAGTTTTCCAGCACACACATCTTGCATTTCCAGGTTTCCAGCACACACATCTTGCATTTCCAGGTTTGCAGCACACATCTCTTGCATTTCCAGGTTTGCAGCACACACATTTCATGTTTCCAGGTTTCCAGCACACACATTTCATGTTTCCAGGTTTGCAGCACACATCTCTTGCATTTCCAGGTTTCCAGCACACACATCTCTTGTGTTTGCAGGTTTTGTCCTGCCCATTTCATGTTGGCTCCAGTGCCACGTCCTTCTGCCTCCCCACACCAGTGAATGTTTTCCCTTGCTTATTAAATAGTTGCTTTGCAGCCATCTAGAAATGATCTTTAGGTTAATATTAGGCCACACATTTTGAATATGTAAAACTTCCAGCTGGCGAGGAAGTCCCTGGAAAGCCTGGGGACAAAGGGAGGATCTCTAAATCCAGGTCTGTAGCATGTCTGGGACCTTGTTGTCCTGACACATCTGAAATAACCTCGGCCCTTTTCCCGTGTGCTGGAAAAACATTTTCCCGGATCTGTCCAGGTGAAGCCCAGCACGGATGACCCTCAGTGTGTGTGTCTGCGTTTCTGCATGGATTGACTCTCCTAAAACATTTGATTTTTGTCCTCTCCAGACTTGGATTCCCACCCCACTGGCGCTCCAGGCACTCGGAAATACCCGCTCCTGTTCAACGTTTCCATCCCTCACCACGAGGAGATCACCATGGCAGAGCTGAGGCTCTACACCCTGGTGGAGCGGGACCAGAGGCTCTACCAAGGGCTGGACAGGAAGGTGACCATTTTCGAAGTGCTGGAGAACGTCCCCGCGGGGGCCAGGGAGGAGAGGAAGTTGGTGGCCCTGGCCTCCAGGCACATCTACGGCACGAGCAGCGAGTGGGAGAGCTTCGAGGTGACGGAGGCCACGCGGCGCTGGCGCCGGGCGGGGCTGAGCACGCACCGGCTGGAGGTTCACATCGAGAGCAGCGAAGGGGAGGAGCAGAACGGGGACGGGAAACTCGACATCGACATCAACTCCGAGGCCAAGCACGTGCCCCTGCTGGTCGTGTACTCTGACGACCAAAGCAACGACAGGAAGGAGGAGAAGGAAGAGCTGAACGAGATGATCGACCACGAGCAGCTGCTGGAGCTGGAGAACCTGGAGATCGGGAACTTCCACGAGCAGCCCGGGGAGGAGGCGCTGCTCCAGATGCGCTCCAACATCATCTACGACTCCACCGCCCGCATCCGCAGGAACGCCAAGGGCAACTACTGCAAAAAGACCCCGCTCTACATCGACTTCAAGGAGATCGGCTGGGACTCGTGGATCATCGCCCCGGCCGGCTACGAAGCCTACGAGTGCCACGGGGTGTGCGCCTACCCCTTGACGGAGCACGTCACGCCCACCAAACACGCCATAGTCAAGACTTTGGTGCACCTGAAGAACCCCCAGAAAGCCTCCAAGGCCTGCTGCGTGCCCACCAAACTCGACCCCATCTCCATCCTCTACCTGGATGCAGGGGTGGTCACCTACAAGTTCAAGTACGAGGGCATGGTGGTGGCAGAGTGCGGCTGCAGATAGTAGGAGGGAACGCCGGCGTGGGGAGGGCACAGGGGGGAGTATTTAATGATTCAGTCTGTAAATTTGTACATTTGCTATTTAATAAGGTTATTTAATGAGGCCTGTACAGATAATTGTGTGTTTGCTGGCACGGGGAACGGGCTGGTCACGTAGGGATTGTATATTTTGTTCCATTGCCTCCTTCTCGCTGTCCGGATCGCCGCCGAGCCTCTCCTCCTGCCAGGGCACGGAGCTGATCCCTGCATTGCTTGGGAGGGCTCTCGCTGCCAAATTCACAGAAATAAAGGCGTATTTTTGTACTTTATCAATGTTGATTGGCATCTCCAGGGCTTTCCAGAGCTGTTCAAGACAAAGAGTGACGGGCAATCACACCTGGATTGTTCAATGTCCTGTAATATCTTTATAAAGGTCTTTACATGCTCGTTTTTTCTTAATTTATCTCTGTAGATCTTACATCCTGATCATTCTCAAGCTCCTGAATCACTCAGACACAAAAAAGGTGATTTTTTTCCCTTTTTTCTCAATATTTCCTTCAGTCTTTCCCTGTTTCAGTCAAAAGTAACAGGCAGGGATGATTTGGCATCTGGAGCAGAAGGGTACAATTCCCTTTCCCATCTTTCTTAGGAAAGCAAATGGCCCAGGAGCAGTGCCAGGCATGGCCAGGCCAAGAAATTCCCCCTGTGCATTACAAAATCCCTCTGAGGCAGCTCTGGCGCTGCTGCAGCAGCCCTGGGCTGGCTCTCAGGGCCAGAGCTTTAGGTGGCAGAAGGAATTGCAATAAATTTCCTGAACCCTTGGGACTGCAGCAGCCAAAATTGCCCTGGAGATTTCCCGGAGCTCCCCCGATCCCAGCGAGTGAATCCCGTGAGCTGCAGCTGCAGAATCCCAGCAGAGCCCTTGGTGCCACACGAGCATCCTCCCTTCCTCTGAGCGCTGAATTGTGCTCCCAGAGGGATATTCCTCCCCCCAGAGCCCAGAGATGCAGTCACATGCCATGTCCCCACCACTCTTCTGCAACAAATCCGACTGATAAGGAGGTGTCGGAGCTGAGAAACAATAGACCCGTCACTTTATTTATACTAAGCTGCAAATTTGTCAGATTCTTGGGAAAGTGTAAGTGATGTTGACTCTTTTAGCCTGTACCAGAGCCTACTGAACTGTCCCTGCGTCTGTTTTACACTTTTAAGGGAAAGTTATCTTCCCTGGGAGTGATAAGGGTCTTTGAAAGAATCACTCCAGCACTTCATGAACACCAAAGACTTTATCACGCACCAGCTAAACCCAAACTCACCCATTTTCACACCAAACACTTCTGTGCTTCCCATAATTTATTGACCTATTTATTGACTGCCTGCCTTTGTAATATAATGTAGAATACAGATTGGTTTATTTTTTGTGCTTGTGTGTAATCCCACTTGGATAAAACCTTGTGCTGATCCTGCTTTTGATGGAATCTCAGTGTTTTGTGTGGCACAGAGAATGAGGTTGGGGGCTTCTTTTTCCTCCCTTGGATACTCATAAATCCCACACGGCTCAGTCCCCTCCTTGCTTGCAGAGCTGCTCCCCCTTGGCAGTGATTTCAGTGGGTTTCAGTGGGTTTTAGTTTATTTCAGTGGATTTTTTCAGTGGATTTCAGTGGATTTCAGTTTATTTCAGTGGGTTTTAGTTTATTTCAGTGGGTTTCAGTGGGTTTTAGTTTATTTCAGTGGATTTTTTCAGTGGATTTCAGTGGGTTTCACTGGGTTTCAGTGGGTTTTAGTTTATTTCAGTGGGTTTCAGTGGGTTTCAGTGGATTTCAGTTTATTTCAGTGGGTTTCAGTGGATTTTAATTTATTTTAGTGGATTTTTTTCAGTGGATTTCAGTGGATTTCAGTGGATTTCAGTGGATTTCAGTGGGTTTCAGTGGGTTTTAGTTTATTTCAGTGGGTTTCAGTGGATTTTTTCAGTGGATTTCAGTGGATTTCAGTTTAGTTCAGTGGATTTCAGTTTATTTCAGTGGGTTTCAGTGGATTTCAGTGGGTTTCAGTGGGTTTCAGTGGAATTTTTCAGTGGATTTCAGTTTATTTCAGTGGATTTCAGTGGGTTTCAGTGGGTTTTAGTTTATTTTAGTGGATTTTTTTAGTGGATTTCAGTGGGTTTCAGTGGATTTCAGTGGAATTTTTCAGTGGATTTCAGTGAATTTCAGTGGATTTCAGTGGATTTCCAGCTCCCCTTGCAGGGCTGTCACAGCTCTGAGCCTCAGCTGCTGAGCCCTGCAGATCTCTGCCGTGTCCAGGTAGCAGCCTGCACTCTGGGCTGTGATTTTGTTTTATTCCTCAGCCCCGGCAGAGCTTTTCCCCGAACCACTCCGCAATCAGAGCTCGCAGGAATTCGGGAGAGCTGGGACATCTCAGCTCTGCTCACATCAGCTGCAGCAGCCAAGGCTTGAAGTGTGACCACACAGAGCCTTTCAAAACCATCCACGATTCTTCTGAAGCCGTTTGCCAAGACAAGGCACTCACCTTGTTAGGGGTGATAATCCAGCATTAGGGAGATAATCCGACATTTGCTTTTATCATCTCATTTCTGCGGGCGCTGCCGTGGCAGAGATGTGCCCTCCCTGCCTTTCTCCCCATCCTCCCCTGACAGCACCAATGCCTCTGAACAGGCACTAAAAGACAATAAAAACCCCACTGCAATAAAAAATAAATATGTGGAGTCTCACTGTAAATCCACAGAGCGAAGCAGAGCAGAGCCTGTGGCGTGTTCTGCTACGAAACAAACACAGGCAATCATTTTATCAGCTGCAGGTGTGATCTTCTACAGGATCAGCAAAATTTACTGATAATTTACTGATAAAGTCAAATTATTGTCAATAAATACGTTCAGAGCTGGGGGCAGCCAGTCTGTGATGTGACTTCTCTTTAGAAAGAGATGAGAGCTGTCCTGCTGACTGAGGATTGCAGCCAGGGTTTGGTGGAAGAAGTAAAGCTCTGTCTCGTTGTGCTGTTCTGGGGGAAAATCGAGCATCTCTTGAGTCCTTCAGCTGCCCCTGAGGTCAGAACTGCTGGGAATGGTGGTTCATTTACCAGGGGTGTCTGTCAGGACTCCACAGCTGCTTTATGAGCAAAATCCTCCCTCTGCCCTTACTTCTGAGAGCGTTTCTTGGATGTTCCTGCAGTTCAGTGACAGAGATCAGACCAAAAAAACAGGGGGGCAGTTATTTCCTAAAGATCTTTTCCTAAATAGCAAATCAAGGCTGTTTCTGCGAGTTCAGAAGCTCTTGGCTTTAAAGCCCCTGTGCCAATAGACACAACACTCACAAATAACAGGGTGAGGTTGTGACAGGAGCCAGGGCTGCCAAGCTGAGAGTCCCAGGAATCCCTGGAAAAATATTCCAAGTCCTTGAAAAGATGTTCCATCCACCCATCCATCCATCCATCCATCCATCCATCCATCCATCCATCATCCATCCATCATCCATCCATCCATCCATCCATCATCCATCCATCATCCATCCATCCATCCATCCATCATCCATCCATCATCCATCCATCCATCCATCCATCATCCATCCATCATCCATCCATCCATCCATCCATCATCCATCCATCATCCATCCATCCATCCATCCATCATCCATCCATCATCCATCCATCCATCCATCCATCATCCATCCATCATCCATCCATCCATCCATCCATCATCCATCCATCATCCATCCATCCATCCATCCATCATCCATCCATCATCCATCCTCCCATCCACATTACTCCTGTGACTCCTGTTTCTAAAAGACTTTATTTGTCACATTAAATTCCGCTGTGCATCGATTCTCCTTTCGTTTCTGAGCTGTTTTATCCCAGCACATTAGCAGATGTTTGATTTAAATCTTCAGTTCTATCTTAATTTTGGAAAGGTTTGGGGAGAATGTGGCTTCACTGTGGAATTATTTATCATTCCATGCCCCCACCCATCCACCCTGAGCAACTAAAGCAACCCTGTCTCACCCAAATCACCACCATCAGCAGGGTTATTGCTTCCACCTATTTCTAACTGAACTTGTAAAAGAAACTGTGAGCAGCTGTGGATCCCCTTTTTTTTTTGCTGGCTCATAATAAAATTCCAGGCAGAGCAGGCAAAGGAGCAAAACAATCGATGGCAGAGAGGAAAAGCCTGGAGAGTGAGGGGAGAGCTTTGGGTTGCTGCTCTGAAATCCACACACACACACAGAGGAGCAGGAATTTCAGGACATCCTCCTCCCTCTGTGCAGGAACGGTGACAGCCGTGTCTCCTGAGCCAGCACTCAGCACCCAGGCCACATTTCACCAGGCACTTGGAAGTCTGAGCTTCCCCTGAAGGATCCGAATCTCTGAGCTCTCTGCACAATTCCTCAAATAGATTTCTCCCCAAAGCCTGCCTGTGTTGTGGGGTGGGACCCTGGAGCAGGCTGATATCCTGAGATTCCCAAAGTTTTGAGTGCCAGACCTGGCAGCTCGGGTGGTTTTCCTGGCCCTGCCCTTGCTCTGGGCTCTTTGGGCTGGATTTTGTGGCAGGAGATCAGGGCAGCTCTGTCCTGCAGTGCTGGCTCACACCCCTCCCATCTTTGGGGGACAAATTGAGCTCCTCAGTGTCGGGGACACATCCCTTTGCAAGGTCTCTGTGTCCTGCCAGGGGAGCAGCACGAGAGGAACCTCCACAGAACTGAGCTCACTTAGGAAAAATCATCCAGAGCAGCAGCTTATTCCAAATTCCTTATTCCAAATTTCTCCTTCCCAAAAACTCCTGCTCAGAGAGCAAAGCAGAACCCACTTACCAAAGGAAAATGTGATTTTGGTGCCTGGGTTTACAGTGGGAGAGGTGCAGTTTAGGATTTTCTGTCACACACACTGAGCCAAAGCCCTGCAAAATCTATGGAGGGGCAAAACAAAACAAAAACCCCCCCAAAAAAACCCAAAACAAAGCAAAAAAAAAAACCAGGAGGATTTCGTGGCACTTGAACATCCGCTTCAAACATTTGAAAAACTACAGCCCAGTGTTAATTTAAACTTCCTTATAACCCAGTTCAACATTTGGAGTGCAAACCCTGTTAATAGGATGGGAACCGGGGTGGTGGTGGTGCTTTGCTTTCTATATTGGGAAACAAAACCAGAAGAAAAGCAGCTTGAGATAGAGCTTTTGTTTATGTTGCTGACCCATCTGTCTTCATTAAAGAATTATTTACAGGAAA